GTTTCCATGTCCAGATTTATACTGGAATCTCTTCCCACAGGCCTTCCTGTTCTATGAATTCTTTGGTGTCCTGATAGCAGTGTCCAGAGCAAGGACTTAACCGCTTTTAAATCCGTAATAAACTGAATGGTTAAAAAAAGATGGTAAATTTTTTTCCTACAGTGTGATAAATAAGAAATGTTATGCTTACATGTGAAAACATAGAGCTTTAATAGCTACAGGACATTTTAAGTCCATCCAAATACCTAATACTGTTCTGAACAACCAAGTAACACAGTTTGGATCAGCCTTCCCAAGTTCTCAGCCTTGCTCCAGAAGCTCTGAGAAATCAAAGGTAAGGCCTTGTCCAGAAAGAGCAGCGATTCACTGCACGTGACTGCTGTACAAGTGAGTGCAGCTGGTCTGAACTGAGATGTGGCTGTTAGTGAAAAATTGATGCTGGGTCTTTTTTTTTTTTTAAGTCAGCAGAAGAAAACCAAACCAAACATTATCAGGATTGGTGATTAATAGCACAGGGGTTTGAAAAAACTTGATTGCACCTGTGCTGCAGAAGCACCTCTGTTCCAAAATATGGTCTTGAACCAAAGCTATAAGGGTAGAGAATCAATGAATCTTCAAGCAGAAGCCAACACAGTTTTACTAACAAGGTGTCAGTGTAAATCTCCACAAACACTTCAACTCACAAGCTTGATTCTGTGGAAACTGCCAATGTCTTTTTTGCCTTCAAAGTGTCTTTCCTCACCCGGTGACACTCAGGGAAGTACTTTCCTTTATAGGAAACAAAATGCCTCTGCCCTTGAGGGTCACAGATGCTGGCAGTCTTGGGGTCCAGGTTGGATCTTTCTTTAGATTCTAGAACTTTGAACCCTCCACCAGATAAAGAATGTGGTCAAGCATTCATTTGCACCACTTGTCAGACACCGACATACTTAACAGTGAAAATTTCCAGATTATGGAATAAGTATAATACACATAAAGGCAGTATTTTACCTCCCTTGGTTCACAGGATGAACAGGTCTTGGAAAGTTACTTTTGGAATGCCACTCCAGATTCTCATGATGAATTTACCCAACGGGCTATCCTGTTTATTTTTTGGCCCAGAAAGAAAATGCAATGTCTACTGGACACACATCGTTCATACCGGAGAGTTAGGCTGGATTTCGTGAGAACAGAGATGGCAATAGAGGTAAGTGGTTATTTACTGCAATAGATCATTTGTAGTCCAGGTGGGAGCTTCCACAACGGCGTCTAAGATATTAAAGGAGATACATTTAAGGACACATGGAACATTCTCCAGGACAGAGCATATGTTGGGCCCTAAAACAAAGGATAGAAATACAAAAAGTATGTCCTCCAACCACAATGCAATTAAAGTAGAAATCAATACATTTTGCAAAGCCAAATATCTGGACGCACTCCCTAGAGGCCTTTCACGTTAGGAATTCTTAGGCAATTTGCTCATTGCGTCTTCATGGTGTTACCGGTGTGGTATGGGCTGTAAAAGAAAAGCAGGCAGAGGGATGAGCACGTGGTCCTGGACAAAATGATACCAGAGTCAGATGTAGACCCGCAAGTCCAGTCTCTAGGCTGTGCTTCAGGACTGGGGGTTTGCCTCAAATTGGAATTGATGCTGGGACTTAAAGACTTAGTGTGAAAAAAAGTATGTAAAATATCTCCTTAGTAATTTTTATTGATTTTTTTCCTGAACTATTTTGGATATTTTGTGTTAAAGAAAATATATTATTAAAGTTAATTTCATCCACTTCTTTTTACCTTTCTTTCTTTTTTCTTTTTTTTGGCCGTGCCACACAGCTTGCAGGATCTTAGTTCCTGGAACAGGGATTGAACCCAGGCCACACACAGTGAAAGTGCTGAATCTTAAGCACTGGGCCACAAGGGAAGTCCCCCTTTTTACCTTCTTAATGTGGCTACTAGAAAATTAAAGATTACGCATAAGGCTCGCATTATGCTTCTACTGAAGAATGCTACTCTAAGGCTAAGGATTGGCTTCCTCAACCTTAATTTCTCCTGGGCTCTGTTTTTAGAGTGCTTTTTGTCGCTTCTTGCCCTTGAACTAGGAACACTGTGGGCTGAGACGCTCAGAGTGGGCTTTCTATAGTTCATTCTGAATGGTTGATGACAGCTTACTTAAGAGTCCCTGAATGATCCCTTTCAGGTAGAAAGGCCAACATCCTTTACAAACCTCTTTAGCTTTGTAGGAGATCCCTTACGACAGAATAACAAAAGCAATGTTTTCATTTCTTCCAGTCCCTGGAAACATAAACTATGTGGTGTTGCTTGTTATAAAGAACTTGGGATCTAAATTTGTAGGTTCAAGTATTGCCTTTGCTTCTATGTGACCTAGGAAAAATCTCATAGTCTGAGCTTGTTTATTAATTAAATTGGATTGAAAGTACCTACCTACTTACTGAGCACACTTGTGAGTTTCAAATAGGCCTTTGCATGTAATAGAGCTTTGTCATCTGTGACCTGCTACACAACCGTCATCTGTTGTTTCACATTCAAAGGATGTGAAAAAATCAGCAGTCTTCTCTCTCAATTTCCCCCTCTTTCTTCTTTCCTCTTTGTCTTCTTCTCTCCTTCTCTTTTTTTTGTCTTCAGAACTTGTAGAACATATCTCAGAAAAAATAGTAAGGAAACAAATAGTTCAGCATCAAAGATGTCTTGTTAAAGAAAAAGCAAAAATAAAGATCCATATACCTCAGTCCTCAGAGAAGCAGAAAATTCTTACAGCCCCAGGCAAATTGTGCCCTCTGAGGAGCCTGGATTCTGGGAGAGAGCAGTCTTGTGAAAGACCTGAAACAAAGGCTTTTCAAGTCCTCGGGAATTGCTCAGAGACTGGGACAGTACCCTGGCAAAGTTATTAGAGTTGATTTCTCAGAGTTATTTGCTCAAAAGGGCCACCTGAGGATAACTGACCACTTGTCCTGAAGTTATCATCTATTTTTAAGAGACCAATTAGAAAGAAGTTAGTAATTATTGCTGTGTGAAGCTTTTACATCAAAGAATTATAGGATCTTAAAAAAGTTTTTTTTGAGAAAATGGTTAAGGAGGGAGGTTTAAAATATTGGTTCACAATATGCAAAGGAACGTTTGCTTGTGGCATTTAAAATGCATCATGTAATTTGTAGTCCTTTTTCCTCCTTTGGGCTTACTTTAGAAATACTAACATGTTAGCTAGGTGTACCTATTTTCAAAGTGATTAACAATTAACTTCTAATTTAAATATTGGTAACGTTATTGATTACTGCCACTTAACCCTTATTTTAATTTACTGCTTGGAGCTTCTTTAGATACCAGTGATGTTTAAAAATCTCTTTTAAATATAGGTAACTAAATTTCCTAAGTAATTAAAATAATGACGATTTACAGTGAGGAAAATTTTTATATTAATATTGAAGCAGAATATTAAGAAACTCTGTAACAGTTATCAGGGAGGAAGAAGTTTTTCTCTACCCTTCTAGGTCCTTCTGGCTGGTCTAAGAATTAAATTGACATGAGACAGATTAGCAGGAGAAAATCACACAAAAGTTTAATAACATGTCTACATGGGAGAGACCCAGGAAAACAGAATCGTGGCCAAAATGGCCAAAGCCCTCACCTTAAATACTGTCTTCAGTTAAAGGCAACAGAGGATGTTGTGGGTAATGGTTTGGGACTTCAAAGGGGAGGAAGGCAATTCATAAGGAGGTAGGAAAGGAACTGTTTTGTAAAGGAGCGTTTGCTGGACCAGCGGAGAGTGGATCAGATCTCTGGGCCCAGCACTTTTTCCTGGCGGGTATCTCTGACGATAACTCTTTTCAGCTCTAATATGTGAATTCTTTAGGCAGCTAAGTGGAAGTAAAAAGAAAGGCTTCCTTAGTCTTCTGTTTCTTAAAAATAATCAGCCTAACTTAATCCTAATGCCAGAGACACATTTTGGGCCAGCAATTTTTTCTCCCCCAGACAGTGAACTGTTGGAAACTTTTATAGTCAAGGCAAGGACACAGTTTGTCTTGGGAGAGTGGTAGTTTTCCGCATAACATGTGATTTCTTGTGTTTGTGCCAAGGGTGTTTCTTTTTTGTCTTTTTCTTTTTTGTAGGCGGCAACAATAGACACATGTTAAATATTGATGAGTTTGACCTCCTGGGAGTTAAAGTATATGCACCCTTTTTGAATATAAATGCAATTTGGTTCATATGGTAAAAGCACATAGAAATTTAGAGATTAGCATTTTAATGAAGTCTAATCTCAGTATTTTCTGATCCCCCCCCCACCTCGCCATTTTGTCGGAAAAAAAGTTTGAAAAATGAAATTTTGAGATGACCGCTGATGTTCTCTCTTGGAGATGCAAGGTCTGCATGAACATAAAAGCAGCACTGTGTGTAGTAACCTTTCCTAAACCATATGTCAAGCACATTAACGGTGTTTAAGATGATCAGTTATTGAAGAAAAGACCAATCCATTCGACCAGTATTTATTAAAGAGCCATGCTTCTGCAGGCAGGTTGGAGGGGGTAGTGTATGTGGCCTTGAGATTACCGCACCTCTAAACTGGAATGTGGCTTTCCTTTTTCCCCTTTAAATTTTTTCTTTTTTTGTTCAGCGTGGATCTTCCAGCTGCCAAGCCCTTCAGCAGGGACCAGGCATTGGATTCCAGTGGCGGATACTGAGGTCCTCAGACCCAGAGGCGCTCCGGGCGCTTCAGCGGTGGGGGGCGGGGCCGAAGGGCCGGGGCGGGAGGGGGCGGTGCTGAAAGCGGACAGGGGCGGGGCCTTGTGCGTTCCGCGCGGCCATTGGCGGCGCTGCGTGAGCGCGTTCGGCCCCTCGCGGGCGGGCGCAGCCGCGGCGCGTTCTGCGAAGCGCGGCAGGTGCGTGGCCGGCCTCCCTCTTGTCAGCAGCTCGCTCGCCGCCCGAATCCTCGGAATCCCAGCGCGGCCGGGCCGAGGAGCTGGCATGGCCTGAACGCCCGCGGCGACGGCGGCAGCGGCCACAGCAGCATGGGAAACCAGGACGCGAAGCCGAAGAGGAGTGCGGGCGATGCCCCGCACGGAGGCGGCGGCGGCGGCAGCGAGGACGCCGCCGGGCTCCGCGAGGCCGAGGGCACAAAGAAGGCGGGCGGGGGCAAGAAGGCGCCGGGCCGGCACGGCAAGGGGGGCGGCGGTGGGGAGCCGGGCAGGAAGAAGAGCCGGTCGGATCCCAGGGCCTCGGTCTTTTCCAACCTGCGCATTCGGAAGACCCTGTCCAAGGGCAGAGGTGCTGGCGGCTCCCGTGAGGATGTGCTGGACCCCCAGGCCCTGCAGGCCGGCGAGCTGGACAGCGCCCACTCCCTGGTCACCAAAATCCCGGACCTCAGCCTCTCGGCCGACGAGACGGGCCTGTCCGATACGGAGTGTGCCGACCCTTCCGAGGTGACGCGCCCCCGGCGTCCTGGCTCCGCCGGGGTCGGGAGCCCGGCGGTGGCCGAGGATTCGGAGACTGCGGCGGGGGTGCAGGATGGACAAAGGACCAGCTCGGGCTCAGACACAGACCTCTACAGCTTTCACTCGGCCGCGGAGCAGGAGGACTTGCTCTCGGACATCGAGCAGGCGATCCGTCTCCAGCAGATGCGGCAGCAGCAGCAGCCCCCGAGGCCCGAGTCGCCCCCGGCGTCGCCCCCCTCCCCCGCCCACCCTTCCGGGGCCCTGCCGGGCCTGGACCGACCCCCGCCGGGCCCAGGCGCCGAGGCGGCGCCGTCCGCGCGCCCCGACCGGGCCCCGGCTGCAGACCGGCCCGCGGCCGCCGCCTTGCCGTCTCCCGGGTCGGCTCCCGGGGAGCGAGGGGCCGCGGACACGGACGAGGAAGGCGAGGAGGACGCTTTCGAGGACGCGCCCAGAGGCTCTCCGGGGGCGGAGTGGGGCCCGGCGGCGGGAGAGGCCCCGCGCAGGCCGGGGGCGACGCGCGAGGAGGGCGCGCCGAGGCCCAGCGTCCCCGCGGCCGCCTCCCCGCGCCGCAGCCCGGCGCGCAGCCCGCGCTGTTCCCGGGCCCGCCCGCTCCTGGCGCCCTGCTACGTCAGGACCACCACCCGGCAGCTCAGCTCGCCCGGGCCCTCCCCGGCCCCGTCCCCCAGCCAGAGCCCCCGGGTCCAGAGACGGCCGGAGTCCTCCCTGGACTGGGGGTCCGGAGCCGCCGCGGCCCCCGCCGCCGCTGCCGCCGCCGCGGTCAGGAAGCCCCGCGCGGGCCGCAGCCGCTCGGCCGACTGGACCGCGGAGCTGGGCCGAGCGCCCGGGGCGGGGGTCTCGGCGCACCTGGCGCAGCGCGGGGCGGGCGGTCTTCAGGATGTGTTCGCAGGTGAGCGCCGGACTCGGGGCCCAGGGCGCCTGCCCCTCGGAGACGTTTCCGTTTGTACACAGGGTCTTAAAGGGAGCAGCTTAGGCGCCTCTGTCCTCAGGCATCTGGAGCAAGGGCCGCTCTGTCCACTTCTCCAAAATATCCCGGGTCACGCCAGGCAGATCGGCTCCTTTTTTGGCACCGTTTGCAAAGCCATCATTCTCTTTCCTTCCTCCTCCCACAGCATTAAAAATAACGAGATTGTTCACGGTCCTCTGACACATCATCTATTCTAGGACTGCTCTGAGGTACACGCCCATGTGCACGCATGTGACACGTAGTTTCTCTCTCAGCGATCGGCGTGGACGCCGTAGTGAACTTAGGTGGTCACTCCCGGTTGCTGACGCAACCAAATCTGATGCATACTTTCAGGAAATTAATGCATAGTGATCTAGAATATTAGGCATCATTTACATTTGGTTTCATGGCCCAGCCTAAACACGGTGATGGTGAGCAGGCCAAAAGCACCCGGGATGCTACTACTGGTACCTTTCCAGCGTCCGTATGGACTTGGCAAAGCCGGCTGAACGGTCGGCTCACGGCGGAAAATGTGGAGCAGTGCGATGAGTTTATCCTTGCGTAGGTCCCACGCCTTTCCTTACGTGCCCGCTGGTAGAGTGTCAGCTTGTTTCATGTTTACTAACTTCTCTTAATTTTTAAATGAAATAATTGAGTGTAAGAATTTAAGGAGCAGGGGAAAATGAGAATTCATGCAAGTCCCGGTAGGTAGTGATAAGTATTTGAATGATTAAAAATTTCAAATGTAATTTGAAAAGCTTAAAATCTTAGGTTCTGTGGCTTTAATAAATAGGGTATCTATGAAACAGTAGATGATATTTCTCCAGAGCATGGATGCTTGTTAGTTAGCTAAATGCTGTTCATGTTTGGTACTTACTTGTATTTGACCACATTTTAAATTTCATCCATGGGCTATCTTTTATTTTACGTTTATAGATTCTTACACTTCAGAGTAGCCTCTTTGATTCATTTTACATGCTTGCTGTCCCTCTTTTACTTCTCCCTTCCCGATATCGTGTAGGTTAAGTTAAAGGAATATTTATAGTCTAATATCCGTTCGATAAATTGTAAATAAAACAAAACAAAACAAGAAACATAAAAACGTTCAAAAGACTGATTTTGAAGGAAGAGGATCGGAAAGTTCTTTAGTTAACTTTTGTGAATTTAATGTTGTTAAGAAATTCAGTATTTCCTCCTTATCTAGGTAACACTCATATATTATTTTTCTAGAAATGAAAATGTCACCAAAATTAAGATGATCATTCATTAATATTAATGGTTGTTCTGCTTTAGAATTTCAAATATATTCATTTCCTTCATTTAACAAATACATATATCTATGTATACGGGGCAGCCATGTTATGCCAGGCAGTGTGTTAGATGCTAGGTGATGTAAAGATCATTAAATCATGTCTCTGCCTTTCCAAGTCTCACTGACAAGTGCACATAGAGATGTAGTACTCTGGGTGCATCAAGTGTGCAGTGACTTACCTCCTGGCAAGGGATGAGGAGACAGGAATTCATAGGAGGATTGGTCAGAGTCCTGAAGATCGTAGGACCCTAAATAGGTTGAAGTTTTGTTTCCATTAAGGAAAAAAAAAAAAGGGTATTCTTGGAGCTAGCATTTCATTTAAATTTGCCATGTATTTCCAAACTTGAAATTTGGGACTCTTACAGGATTCCTGTTCAAGAGGTACCTGGGTTTTTTGTTGACATCTCCAAGCAGGATTTTTTACTGTGCAGAGTTAGTTGCTTTAATATGGGCATCACCCACTTTATTTATTTATTTATATATATATTTTTATTAAAGTACAGCCCATTTTCAATGTTATGTTAATTTCTGCTGTACAGCAATGTGACTCAGTTATATACATATATACATTCTTTATTTTTAATATTATTTTCCATTATGGCTTATCACAGGATATTGAATAGAGCTCCCTGTGCTATACAGTAGGACCTTGTTATTTATCCATTTTATTTGTGATAGCTTACATCTGCTAACCCAAACCTCCCGCTCCATCCCTCCCCCAACACCCTCCCCCATGGCAACCAGAGAACCATGTTCTCTGTGTCTGTGAGTCTTTCTGTTTTGTAGATAAGTTCATTTGTGTCATATTTTAGATTCCACACATAAGTGATACATATGAGGCATCCCCTACTTTATATGTGATGCTTGGATATAGTTGGTCAGTGACCAGTGGATATTTGTGTTGCAGTTTCTATATATTTATCTCACTCACTTTCTTAAAAAAAAAAAAAAGGTAGGTTTAACCAAATCTTGTAACTGGTGGGCAAATGGAGGTAAACAAAGAGATGAAAGTTTTCCAAGGTCACACTGTGATTCATTCAGAGGCTGAGCCAAAAATAGGAGCTGAGTCTACTGATTTGAGTCTGACTGTTCTTGCTTATTCCTCATTTTTGGGTGTTCAACACTGTAAGACTTCATATGGAGTAAAAACTTTGAAAAATATTATAGAATTTAAGGCCTTCACTTAGGAGATTTCCAAGTTTCTGTTATTAATAAGGTGAATTCCTTTCATTGTTGAACGTGTGGCCTTCTTGGGCTGGATGCAGGGTGATTGATTGTCAGAGCGAAGCAGGTTTTCTCCAGACATCTCTCATGGAAGCTTTCCTGCGGTGGTCGAGTGAATCCAGGGTGACACAGGCCTCTGTTCCTCAGCTGTTGTCTGTTTCCTTGTCATTTGGCTTTACATTTGGTTCTTTACCATCCTCTCCTATTTTATGGGTGTCTTGGAAATTACTAGAGCCCTGGGGAACCCTAGCATTGTCCTCAGGGAAGTTGTTTTCTGGCCTTAATTTGCATGTCTTTGGATCAATTAATTGCCAGCTGCCTTTGAAGCAGGTGATAGTTATATCTCTAAGCTTCCATGGACAGCTTTTATTTTTTTTTATTTATTTATTTTTTTGCGATACACGGGCCTCTCACTGTTGTGGCCTCTCCCGTTGCAGAGCACAGGCTCCGGATGTGCAGGCCCAGTGCCCATGGCTCACAGGCCCAGCCGCTCCGCAGCATGTGGGATCTTCCCGGACCAGGGCGCGAACCCGTGTCACCTGCATCGGCAGGCGAACTCTCAACCACTGCGCCACCAGGGAAGCCCGACAGCTTTTATTTTTAAACCATAGAATGAGGGTTGTCAGCTCTGCAGGAAGGAACAGATGTTTTTTGCTTTTTACTGCCTTCCGAATGTAGGGAGAAAATTGGAGTGAAAAGAGATCTCCATGGCACGTGTTTGTGTTTCTTTGGCAGATATAATAACATTTACCAATAATGGGGACCAAGACCTTATCTTGTTTTAGCTGTTAAGGAGCTGATGATATTTTAGGCCACTGCACTGAAATTTCACAGTTCATTTGCTTGAAAAAACATCTTTTTCAGTGTTTAGTGCAAAAATTGCTATGAAATTTAAGAGATTTCTTTGCATATGCTTTCCTTACAGCACAAGCTTGTGAATAGAATTTTGCAGTTAATTAAAGTGTAGACATGTGAAATGTTAAATTTGTGATGCTGAATCACTTTTGATAGAGGTCTTTCCAAAGTCAATTATGTGCTTATCCTTCTTTTTCTTAAACACGTGGCCTAAATGGTTCATCTCTTTTAACTGGCTTAATGTCATCTTTAGACCCATCATGGTTGCATCCCGTGAAAACACTGCTGTTGCCCTCAACTGCTGTTGAAGTGTAATAGGCTGGTGACTCCAGTTGGCTGTTGCTGAGGTTTTGTATCTGTGTGGTTTTCTTGACTTTTTCCTTCCCGTCAGCTATTGATTCTTAGAGCTGTCTTTGGTCTCTTCTCCACCCCCCCCATTACTTCTAATTTGATTTTTGTGATCAGTTTGTTATTGGTTTATGAATCCTGTGATTATGATGTTAGCTATATTTATTGCACTTCTGCTAAATGCCAGGCTCTGTGTTGGTGCATTACATAATTATCTCAAATCCTTACGGTAGTCTTGAAGTCTAGCTGTTTATCTTCGTTTTCCCAGTGAGTGAACCATGGTCAGGCAGGTAAAGTAACTTTCCTCGGTATTAAGTAGCCAATGGCCCATCTAGGATCTGTACTTAGAAAACCAAATCTGTTGTTAATGTGAATAAAATAAAATGAAGTGTGTCGGTGAGCTTTTGGAGCACTAGCTAGTCAATAAAGGGCGTGGGCTTTAAAATTTGGATTGCATGACTCTCATTTTGGCTTTTCTAAAGGTTATCTTGATTTTTATATCAAAATAGAAAGAAGACCCTCTCTAGGAGTGCAGACTTTCTCATGCTGTTTGTGAAGTTATTAGACTGTGAACTTTTTAGAGCCTGGAGCAGTCTTATATCCAGCAGTAGCATCTGACAGAGTGTAGACGTCCAGTTATTGACCAATAAATGAGTGAGGGTCAGAAATCACCCCTGTTGTGTGTAATGCATCAGTGTTACTATGACAGGAAAGGGGATTACAAGAATGCCATCTTTCCCCTATATCTTGCGTTACTGGGCTTCCTGTATTTGAATCAGATTTGGCAGCATAAGCTGGGACTGGTAGCACTGTTCTCAAATCATTTTAGTTTGGTCTGAAACATCCTTTCTCATGGTTCCTTTAAGGCTGTGGTTTGGATTGAAGTCATTTACCCCACTGGCCTGGCTTTTCATGCATTTAGGCATTTGGATACAAGCCATGTGTATATGAACTTGAGCAGGTGCATTTAGAGCAGTGTTTCCTTCTGATTCCATTAAAAAGGTGCTGAGCACACACCTTGGGTGATGCAACAGTGGTTCCTCTAACTACTGGTATTCCAGATATATCTGCATCCTAGCTGGCTCTTCAGTTAGGTGACTCTTAAGTAATTTTTTCTCATATGTATGAAGGTGGAGGAATCATTTCAAGTTAATAATATTACGATTAAATAGTGTATGTAAAGCCCCTACAACTCTGCCTGGTACATAGAAGGCACATAGTTGGTGCTATTTACTTGTCTGTCCTGGTTTATTGCCTTAATGGGCTACATTGTTCAAAGTGGTCCAAACCAAATTTGTCACATCAAAACAAAACAACTCTGAAATTGTGTATCAACACTGGGAAGGATGTAATCTGATACTTGTTGAAAATTAATATTTCTAGTCAATGGGGTTTTTTTTGGCAAATTGTTTATAGATCAGTTTTTTTCTTTTCTTGCATTTTCTATGATTGTAAGCCTTTTTGTCACTTTATCAGAAATTGTAGTTTTCTTGGGGGTTTGGACAAGGAAAGCATATGGTGGAGGATGACTGTGTGATTAGGGGGAGGTGGTGGTGTTTAAAGGGGGGTGGGTAGAGGAGGCGCAGTATTTACCCGCCTGGCTTTGCAGCCTCACCTCCCATGGTTTCCTTCAGAAACTCTCTACTTTAGTCAAGTTAATCTGCTTACTGTTCTCTGAACAGTCATTTCATTCCCCTGACTTTGTGCCTTTGTCTAACAGTTTTCACTCTCCTGTAACACAATTTGTCTCTCTTGACTTAGGATCTGAAAAGGCTGATTGAATTCCCATTTCCTCTTTGGTATCTTTCCCAGCTGGGCCTGACTGGTGGTCGTCTCTGCATCTCTGTGCTTACTGTCTATATCATATCATGTATACTTCTTGGATTTGGGGATTCTTTAGGTCTTCCTTCTCACTTCCTTCTGCTTTTCCTTTCTCCTTGCCTGCTCACCTGATTCTGTCCATTCGTCACCCACTCCTGTCTATCCTCTGCGAGTACCTACTCCGCGCCCTCTGTGTGCCAGCCAGTCAGGTGTACATTGAGCACACTGAGGCCTTTATGAAGCTCGTTTACCATTTTCTTCAAACAGGGGAGTTGATTATCTATTGTAACTAAAACTAGTTGAATTAATTTGGAAAGTTACTAACATTTTTGGGTGGTGGAAATTAATTATTTTCATTGAGGTATGATTGACTCAGTGGTGAAGGTAGAATGATACTTTGGTAGAATTTGTGTTGAGAGAACATCTATTCTGATTTTTGTGGATTGATTTTAACATAGCAATGATAATGCAGTAACTCTAAGCTTCCAAATATAAATTTTGTTGGTAATGAAAGAAGAGGAAAATATTCCCTTCATTCCTGC